TGGTTCAAAACCACCAGAGAAGGGAGAAGCTTCCGCTGGATTCCCAAAGTCCATCCGGGGAGATAGGGAAGAAGATAAATAAAGTGGTGTTGTTGTTGAGGAGCTTCTGTTGGATTCGCAGGCATCGCAGTGGCACATTTCCACTGCGCTTTGAACCCATGGCTCCATTGGCTCCTGGTCTCTCAGAGCAGCAGGAAGTGAGCTTGACCCTTCCCCTTTGCCCAGGCTGGCCCTGCCTTTGACCCTCCTTCCCAATGTTTCTCCCCTGCAGTGGCCGGCCTGGGCTTTGGCCTCATGAGCGGGGCCTTCTCCATGATCAACCTGCTGGCCGACTCCCTGGGGCCGGGCACCGTGGGCATCTATGGGGACTCGCAGCTCTACTTCCTGAGTTCAGGTAAGGCTACCCCTCCTTCTGCCCCACAGTCTGGTTCTCTCCCTCCCTGTTATAGAGCAGGAATGTAGGGGTCTTTGCCAGGAGGCAGAGACCAATTAGACTCATCAAAGAGTTCTTTTTCTCTGGCGAGACAGAGAAGCACCCAATCCCTGGTTTTCCCCAATAAAAGGTCTTACCAAGTGGAAGGAAGTTCCACCGGGGTTTATTTGCAATTCAGCTGAAAAGGATGCAGAGAGGCAATCATTCCAAGCAGAGAATGTGGTTACAGAAGTAAAGGCCATTTTTATAGAAAATACAGAGTTGTGAGTTTCAAAATTCCCACTCCCCCCTCCCGCCCAGCTTGAAGGGGATTGGCTGATGCGCAAACAGCTGGGAGGAGGCTTGGCCGTCCCCCATGCATCAGGGCCAATCACAGGGCTTTCGCTGGGCGCCAGAGCCTATCAGGAGGCTCCTGCTGCCTTGACGCTCCAGTGAATCAGAAGGGAGGGAGGCGGGATGAAGGGAAACAATGCATTCTGGAGTGGATTATGACAAGATTGTCCCTGAGGCTTAGCGAGATCCGGGGGGGGTCTGCCAGCCAAGCCATTCTATTGTGTTCATGAGTGAAGGCAATAAACATATGTTAAAGAAATCCAAGTTTTCCTGTCGCCATCAGATATGACACAAAGGGGAAGACTTGGGTGGAAGTTCTTTGTGGAGAAGTTTGAAAGAAAAATGGCTTGGAGGAAAAGAGGACTTTCCTAAGGTCATATTCCCCCATTGTTATATGATTAAAAAGTCTGCCAAACAGAAATCCTAATAGTGGCCCAACTCCCAAGACAAAAGGATTTCCTTTACTATTGTCCATGCAAAAAATGTCCAAAGATAAGGGTTTTCACAATCGCTAATGGCCTTTTGCAAAGGCAGGACAACTTCCTTATTCATTTTCCTCAAGGAGAGGGGAAGGGAGGAAAAGGGTCAGGACCAGGTCAAATACATGAAGGGAAATAAAGAAATACAGGAGAAAATATGAAAATATAGAAATTATAACACAGAGAGTAAACCCAACTACCTTCCCCCAGTGTCCATAGTTCATATTATTCATAGGAAGGTCCATAAAGGGAAATATATCCATGAGGGGGAAAGAGAGTCCCTTGTTGGTGAGGTGGGGGACCCTCAGGAGCCCAGGTGTGCCTCAGGTGGGAAAATTCAAATACTTTTGTGGCATGATTTTCAGTAATAAATGGGTTACCTTCTGCTGTAAACATATGAAAATAGAGCATTGATTTTGAGTAATAAATTGGTTACTTTCTGCTGTAAACATATGGAAATAGAGCATAAAGCCTTGATTAAATGATACACACCAAACTGACCAAGGCTTGACCCTTATTATCCAGCCTGGCATCCTTGCCCTTAGCAAAACTATAAGTTACTATCTCTTATGGGGGGGGGGGGGTCATGTTCGACTTCATCCCCACTATCTCCCTCGCTCCCTCCCTCTTTCCAGCCTTCATGACTCTGGTCCTGATCCTGCTGCACACCTTCTGGGGAATCATCTTCTTCCACGGCTGTGAGACCAAGCGCTGGTGGGAAGTGGCGGCCGTGGTGGTCTCCCACCTCATCGTCTCCTGCCTGGTGAGTGGCCGTGAGCACACCCTCCCCCCCACGGGAGGAGCAGTGAGATGGTCACTTCCTCTCCTGTGATCAGGCCAGTGGGTCAGTTGGAGTCCACAAGTGGCCAGGCTCCCAGGGGTGCTGTGGGGAGGGGGCTGTGGTAGTGTGTCGAGGATAAAGCTTTTCTGGCATCGTTGAGCAAGTGTTGAGTGACAGGTGTGCCTTTTCTAGATGCCATTGCTCACTCCGGTCAAGATGACCAAGCAAGAAGGGAATCATAGAATCATAGATTGGGAGAGACCTCATGGGCCATCCAGTCCAACCCCATTGTGCCAAGAAGCAGGAATATTGCATTCAAATCACCCCTGACAGATGGCCATCCAGCCTCTGTTTAAAGCTTCCAAAGAAGGGCCATCCAGCCTCTGTTTCAAAGCTTCCAAAGAAGGAGCCTCCACCACACTCTGGGGCAGAGAGTTCCACTGCTGAACGGCTCTCACAGTCAGGAAGTTCTTCCTCATGTTCAGATGGAATCTCCTCTCTTGTAGTTTGAAGCCATTGTTCCATTGCATCCTAGTCTCCAGGGAAGCAGAAAACAAGCTTGCTCCCTCCTCCTCCCTGTGGCTTCCTCTCACATATTTATACATGGCTATCATATCTCCTCTCAGCCTTCTCTTCTTCAGGCTAAACATGCCCAGCTCCTTAAGCCGCTCCTCATAGGGCTTGTTCTCCAGACCTTTTATCATTTTAGTCGCCCTCCCCTGGACACATTTCCAGCTTGTCAATATCTCTGTTGAATTGTGATGCCCAGAATTGGACACAATATTCCAGGTGTGGTCTAACCAAAGCGGAATAGAGGGGTAGCATACTTCCCTAGATCTAGACACTATGCTCCTATTGATGCAGGCCAAAATCCCATTGGCTTTTTTTGCCGCCACATCACATTGTTGGCTCATGTTTAACTTGTCGTCCACGAGGACTCCAAGATCTTTTTCACACGTACTGCTCTCGAGCCAGGCATCCCCCATTCTGTATCTTTGCATTTCGTTTTTCCTGCCAAAGTGGAGTCTCTTGCATTTGTCCCTGTTGACCATTGTGTTAGTTTTGGCCCCTCATCTCTCTAATCTGTCAAGATCCCTTTGATTCCTGCTCCTGTCCTCTGGAGTCTTGGCTCTCCCTCCCAATTTGGTGTGGTCTGCAAACTTGATGATCCTGCCTTCAGGATCATCTTTGTTGTTTGTTGTCTGTCTTTTGAATGGCCTTCTTAACCTGTCAACAATGCTGTGGGGTTTCCCCCCTGACTCCCACTTTCCTGTGTCCTAAGCCCCTTCCACACAGCTGAATAAAACCCCACATTCTCTGCTTTGAACTGGGTTATATGGCAGTGTGGACTCCGATAACCCAGTTCAAAGCGAATATTGTGTGATTTTGTACCTTGATATTCTGGGATATAGGGCTGTGTGGAAGAGCCCATAGAATCCTAGAGCTGGAAGACACCCACAAGGGCCATCCAGGAAGACTCAATCCAAACCCTCCCAACAGATGACCATCTAGCCTTGGGTACAAAAGATCTGGAAGAGGAGACTTCGCCGGACTCCCAGGGAGCAGATTCACTTTCAAACAGCTGTAACCATCAGGAAGTTCTTCCTAATGCGATTTTCCTGCTTGGCAGGGGGATGGACTGGGTGGCGCACGAGGTGTCTTCCAGCTCAAGGAATCCATCATTCGAATGTTTAGGTGGAATTTTGGTGGGGACAAAGAGGTCCTCCAAAGTTCTCTCTTTTTCCAACCCTGTGAGATGTCTACAGCCTTGGGAAAGGCGCTCTTCACAGGTTCCTCTGTTTCCAAGGCTTTTTAAAATTAGTTAATCTCTAAAATTATAATCTTTGAAATTAGTTAATGCTCTACGATTATCTGTTGGAAGGGCTTAGATGGTGCCTTTCTGCCTGACAGAAGAGGGTTGGACTGGGTGGCTGAGGGAGGGAAGGGAAGAAAGTAAGAGGGGAAGGAAGGAAAGGAAGAAAGGGCCCTTCCAGGCAGGCGCTATGTCTCAGGATCTGATCCCAGGTTTTATGTTTTAAACTGGATTATATGAGTCTGCACTGCTAGATAATCTGGGATAATCTGGGATCAGATCCTGGGATATAGGACCTGTCGGGAAGGGCCCAAAGAAGGAAGGAAAGAGGGAAGGAAATGGGAGGAGAGAAGGAAAGAAGGAGGAAGGAAGAAAAGAAAGGAAGGAAAGAAAGAAGTGGAAGGAAGAGAGGGAAGAGAAGGGAAAGAGGGAAGAAAGAAAGAAAAGAGGGAAGAGAAGGGGAGGGAAGAAAGAAAGAAAAGAGGGAAGGGAAGAAGAAAAGAAAGAAGTGGAAGAGAGGGAAGAGAAGGGAAGAGGGAAGAAAGAAAGAAAAGAGGGAAGAGAAGGGGAGGGAAGAAAGAAAGAAAAGAGGGAAGGGAAGAAGAAAAGAAAGAAGTGGAAGAGAGGGAAGAGAAGGGAAGGAGGGAAGAAAGAAAGAAAAGAGGGAAGGGAAGAAGAAAAGAAAGAAGTGGAAGAGAGGGAAGAGAAGGGAAGGAGGGAAGAAAGAAAGAAAAGAGGGAAGAGAAGGGGAGGGAAGAAAGAAAGAAAAGAGGGAAGGGAAGAAGAAAAGAAAGAAGTGGAAGAGAGGGAAGAGAAGGGAAGGAGGGAAGAAAGAAAGAAAAGAGGGAAGGGAAGAAGAAAAGAAAGAAGTGGAAGAGAGGGAAGAGAAGGGAAAGGGAAGAAAGAAAGAAAAGAGGGAAGAGAAGGGGAGGGAAGAAAGAAAGAAAAGAGGGAAGGGAAGAAGAAAAGAAAGAAGTGGAAGAGAGGGAAGAGAAGGGAAGAGGGAAGAAAGAAAGAAAAGAGGGAAGAGAAGGGGAGGGAAGAAAGAAAGAAAAGAGGGAAGGGAAGAAGAAAAGAAAGAAGTGGAAGAGAGGGAAGAGAAGGGAAAGAGGGAAGAAAGAAAGAAAAGAGGGAAGAGAAGGGGAGGGAAGAAAGAAAGAAAAGAGGGAAGGGAAGAAGAAAAGAAAGAAGTGGAAGAGAGGGAAGAGAAGGGAAAGGGAAGAAAGAAAGAAAAGAGGGAAGAGAAGGGGAGGGAAGAAAGAAAGAAAAGAGGGAAGAGAAGGGGAGGGAAGAAAGAAAGAAAAGAGGGAAGGGAAGAAGAAAAGAAAGAAGTGGAAGAGAGGGAAGAGAAGGGAAAGAGGGAAGAAAGAAAGAAAAGAGGGAAGAGAAGGGGAGGGAAGAAAGAAAGAAAAGAGGGAAGGGAAGAAGAAAAGAAAAGTGGAAGAGAGGGAAGAGAAGGGAAGGAGGGAAGAAAGAAAGAAAAGAGGGAAGGGAAGAAGAAAAGAAAGAAGTGGAAGAGAGGGAAGAGAAGGGAAAGAGGGAAGAAAGAAAAGAGGGAAGAGAAGGGGAGGGAAGAAAGAAAGAAAAGAGGGAAGGGAAGAAGAAAAGAAAGAAGTGGAAGAGAAAGGGAAAGGGGAGAAGGAAGGAAAGAAAGGGAAAGAGGAAGAGGAGGAAGAGAAAGAAAGAAGAGGAAAAGGAAGGAGGAAGAAAGGAGAGAAAGAAATGGAAGAGAGGGAAGAGAAGGGAAGGAGGGAAGAAAGAAAGAGAGGAGAGGGAAGGGAAGAAAGGAGGCGAGGGAAGGAAAGGGCAAGAAAGGAGAGGGGAGGGAGGGGAAGAAGGAAGGAAAGAAGGAAATATTTATTGGCAGAGGAAGGCAATGTCCTGCATAGCCCCTCACTCTTCTCCCCCCCCCCCCCCCCGGTTTCTCCTGCAGACCTTCTTGAACCCGCTCTACCTGGCCAGCCTCCTCCCAGCCTACCTGCTGATGGCAGGGGCCGCCGTCTGGGCCTACCTCCTGTCCGGAGGCTCCAAGCAGAACCTGCGCCACCTCCTCCTGTGTGAGTATGCGGCCAGAGAGGCCTCCCTGACCCTTGGCCGCAGGGGCCGCGAGGCTGGACCAACGCTCTTGCCACCCCTTCTCCCCAAAGGCCCTTAGTGGCTGACATTGGGGCCTGGGGATGTGGGGGGGGGGGGGTGTCTCCAACCACAGCAGGTACTTGCTTCCATGTTTAGGCCCCTTTGAGTCTCCTCATGGGATATTATAATAATAATAATAATAATAATAATAATAATAATAATAATAATAATAATAATATAGGTTGTTGTAGGTTTTTTCGGGTTATATGGCCATGTTCTGGAGGCAATTTTTCTCCTGACGTTTCGCCTGCATCTATGGCAAGCATCCTCAGAGGTAGTGAGGTCTGTTGGAACTAGGAAAATGGGTTTATATATCTGTGGAATGACCAGGGTGAGGCAAAGGACTCTTGTGAGCATAGCTTTCCTGCTTCTTGGCAGGGGGTTGGACTGGATGGCCCATGAGGTCTCTTCCAACTCTTTGATTCTAGGTGTGAATGTTTCAACTGACCACCTTGATTAGCATTTGGTGGCCTGACAGTGCCTGGGAGAATTTTTTGTTGTTTATATCCAACTTTATTATTATTATTATTATTATTATTATTATATTTCAACTGACCACCTTGATTAGCATTTGATGGCTTGGCAGTGCCTGGGGGAATCTTTTGTTGAGAGGTGATTAGATGTGCCTGATTGTTTACTCTCTGTTGTTTTACTGTTGTAATTTTACTACCTCTGAGGATGCTTGCCATAGATGCAGGCGAAACGTCAGGAGAAAATGCCTCCAGAACATGGCCATATATTCCAGCCATGAAAGCCTTCAACAATAATAATAGGGAATGATGATGATGATGATAATAATAATAATAATAATAATAATAATAATAATAATAATAATAGTAATAATGGGGCTGGGGCTCCGTCCTGACTGACCACTGCCCCCTTCCTTGTCTTCTCAGGCCTGCGGCGTGAGACCAACCCCCAGCCGGCATCCTGAGCCCCCCCTCCCCACCTTGTGTCCAGCTCACCTTCATTCCAACCCGTTGTCGCGTAGCTGCCGTGCCTTCGGGAGCTTTGCTGGACCCTCGGGACAAACGGCGGCAGGACTTTTGGAGTGAGGACAAGGCTTTACACCCCCCACCCCTTCCTTTGACTTATTGGGGTGGGAGGGGTCACAGGGTGCTGGAAACTCTCTGGCGTTCGTCTCTGGATGGAGGGGCCTTTCCTGCAGAGCGGAAAGGGAGGAGCCCCACCGGGACGGACCTGTTGGCTCCTCTTTTGGCCCCCAGGAAAGAAAAGGGGCCGCTTGGAGGCTGGAGGGACTTTTGGGGGGATTATGTTAGCCAAGGGGACCAGGGGGCCTACCTGTTCCCTCCTTTGGGAGAGGCAGGGGGCCCACAAAATGCATTCGCACCAATAAAGAAAGATTGTGGACAAGAAAGTGCCTGTTGTGTGCGTCTGTGCAAGTTGAAGAAGGGGATATTCTGGCCCAGGCATGGGCCAAATTGGGCCCTCCTCCAGGTATTGTTCCACAAAAAGGTTCCCACCTCTTTGTGTCTTTCTCAGTTGCAAATAGAGATGTATATGAGGCACTAGCTATACTCGCCTCGCGTTGCTGTAGCCAACCTTCCCTCCCCTTCTCTTTCTTTCTCCTTCCTTCCTTCCTTCTTTCCCTCCCTCCCTACCTTCACTTTTTGCTTCCATCCTTCCTTTTCTCTTTCCTTCCCTCCCTCTTTCTCTCCTTTCACTCGTTTCTTCCTTCTTTCCCTACCTCCTTCCTTCCTTCCTTCCTTCCTTCCTTCCTTCCTTCCTTCCTTCCTTCCTTCCTTCCTTCCTTCCTTCCTTCACATTTTTGCTTTCGTCCTTCCTTTTCTCTTTCCTTCCCTCTTCCTTCCTTCCTTCCTTCCTTCCTTCACTTTTTGCTTCCATCCTTCCTTTGCTCTTTCTCTCCTTCTTTCCTTCCTCTTTCTTCCTTCCTTCACTTTTTGCTTCCATCCTTCCTTTTCTCTTTCCTTCCTTCCCTCCCTTCTTTCTCTCCTTCTTTCCTACCTTCCTTCTTTCCCTACCTCTTTCCTTCCTTCATTTTTTGCTTCCATCCTTCCTTTTCTCTTTCCTTCCTTCCCTCCCTTCTTTCTCTCCTTCTTTCCTACCTTCCTTCTTTCCCTACCTCTTTCCTTCCTTCCTTCATTTTTTGCTTCCATCCTTCCTTTTCTCTTTCCTTCTTCCCCCCCTCCCTTCTTTCTCTCCTTCTTTCCTACCTTTCCTTCCTTCCTTCACTTTTTGCTTCCATCCTTGCTTTTCTCTTTCCTTCTTTCCTTCCTTCTCTACCTCTTTGCTTCCTTCCTTCCTTCCTTCCTTCCTTCCTTCCTTCCTTCCTTCCTACCTTCCTTCCTACCTACCTACCTACCTACCTACCTTCACATTTTGCTTCCATCCTTCCTTTTCTCTTTCCTTCCCTCTCTCTTTCTCTCCTTCCTTCCTTCTTTCCCTACCTCTTTCCTTCCTTCCTTCCTTCCTTCCTACCTACCTACCTACCTACCTACCTTCACTTTTTGCTTCCATCCTTCCTTTTCTCTTTCCTTCCCTCCCTCTTTCTCTCCTTCCTTCCTTCTTTCCCTACCTCTTTCCTTCCTTCAATTTTTTGCTTCTTTCCTTCCTTTTCTCTTTCCTTCCCTCCCTCTTTCTCTCCTTCTTTCTCTCATTCCTTCCTTCTTTCCCTACCTCTTTGCTTCCTTTCTTCACTTTTTGATCCGTCCTTCCTTTTCTCTTTCCTTCTTTCCTTCCCTCCCTTCTTTCTCTTCTTCTTTCCTTCCTTCTTTCCCTACCTCTTTCCTTCCTTCCTTCACTTTTTGCTTTCATCCTTCCTTTTCTCTTCCCTTCTTTCATTCCCTCCTTCTTTCTCTCCTTTCCCTCCTTCCTTCGCTCCCTCTTTTCTTCCTTCCCTTATTCTTTCCTTCCTTCCCTCTTTGCTTCCCTGCTTCCTTCTCTTTCTCTTCTTTCTCTCTCCCTCTCTTTCCTCCCCTTCCTTCCTTTCTTTCTCCCCTTCCTTCCTCTTTTTCTGTATCGTCATTTAGCTTTTCATCATTTAGCTTTTTTGGGTTTTTAAGTCCCTTCCACTTTTTTTTTCTTTTGGGGGGGGGGAGGAGGCTTTATGAGTGATGGTCACTCATTGGTCCATTAGGGTTACAGTGTCCAAATTTCGTGTCAATTTGCCCAGTGGTTTTTGAGTTATGTTAATCCCACAAACAAACATTACATTTTTATTTATATCGATGGGCGAGTTCGTTCGGAGGTTGCGGGTGTCGGAACTAAATTTGGAAGTTTCACACTTCCGAACTGGGTTCCAAAGCGCGCTTGGAAGTCGGAAGTCCCCTGTAGTTTCAAAGTGACCCGGGCCATTGATTTTAATGGCTCGGAAGACGATTTGGAATTATAAGAAAGTTTTTTTTGCTAAAAGTAAGCCTGCTGGGAAGTGCAGCCTAAAGTGCTTGTCTCCCAGCTGTGCATACGTATCCATCATTAGGGTGGGGTATCCAGCAGCCATTGCTGCTTATAAACCCAAACACATGTTTGGAAGGTGGTTGGGATCTTTTTTGCTGCCGCTGCTGCTAGGGGATGTTTAAGGAGCTCCACTGGCTGCCGTTCATTTTCCGGTCCCAATTCAAGGTGCAGGTGCTTACCTACAAAGCCATAAACGGTTTGGGACCCGCCTACCTGCGTGACCGCATCACTCTATACAAACCCACGCGATCTCTCCGATCATCTGGAGAGGCCCTGCTCTCGATCCCACCAGCATCGCAAGCGCGATTGGCAGGGATGAGGGACAGGGCCTTCTTGGTGGTGGCCCCTCGACTCTGGAACTCACTCCCCAAGGACATCAGACATGCTCTAACGTTGGCAGCCTTTAGGAGGAGCCTGAAAACATGGTTGTTCCAGTGTGCCTTCCAAGATTAAGGAAACTCCCAGCAATATGTCCCTTAACACACTTTAGTAGTGATTTGGGATTGTCTTCACGCCCTATCCGTCTCCAAAATTTCTATCCTGTTTATATGTCACCTGGTCACTGACCACCTGCTGCAATGCAACCTGAGCCCAGCCACATGATGCACAAGGGAGGACCTCCTTGCGGCAACACCAGAGGCACTCCAAGGGGCCAGAGACTGGTCAAAGGACATTTAATCAGCTACCAAGTTTGCAAAATTTGTGTGTGTGTTTTTAATCTGTTTGCTTGTTTTGTTCTGTTAGAAATGTAATACAATGTTCTGGTTGCGGATGACACGATAAATAAAAAAAGCATTGCAGGAAAGGAGAGGGGAGGGGGCTTCTCTTGCTAACCATGTAGCATTCTTTGGAAGTGGCCAATTGGATGGGGAAGGGTCAAGCACCAAGGTGGTCAGTCCAAGGCGGGCAGCGACTCTTTCTACCCGCGTTGCTTGCTTCTTCTGGTCCAAAAACGAGGAGGGGGATCTTCCTGGTCTCTCTTGAGTCCTGCTCACTTGTCTCCCGAAGTTCTTTGATGGTATCCTTGAACTGGCTGCCCAGAAGTGGACACAGTGTGACCCCAAGTGAGAGGTCTGAATGAGGTGGGTCACGGTGCCTTTGCAGATGCAGCACAGCATTGCATTGGCTTTTTCCCCGCTGATGTTTCCTTGTCTGTCTTCCCAAGAGATTTGCAGGATTTTTCGGAGGAATCGTTCCAGGAGTTGCATGTGATGTGTGTAGACAGTCCACGTTTCGCAGGCATATAGCATGGTTGGGAGGACAATGGCTTTATAAACAAGCCTCTTGGTCTCCCTACCGATGTCCGGGTCCTCAAACACTCTCTGCTTCATTCGGAAAAATGCTGCACTCGCAGAGCTCAGGTGGTGTTGTATTTCAGTGTCAATGTTGACGTCTGTAGACAGTCCACGTCTCACAAAAGATTGCTCCAGGCACTGTCAGGCTATCAAATGCTAATCAAGGTGGTCAGTTGAAACATTCACCCCTAGCTCGAGCAGACAAGAGTCCTTTGTCCCACCCTGGTCATTCCACAGATATATAAACCCTTTTTCCTAATTCCAACAGACCTCACTACCTCTGAGGATGCTTGCCATAGATGCAGGCGAAACGTCAGGAGAGAATGCCTCTAGACCATGGCCATATAGCCCAAAAAAAACCTACAACAACCCAGTGATTCTGGCCATGAAAGCCTTCGACACTCTCTGCTTCATTCGGAAAAATGCTGCACTTGCAGAGCTCGCAGAGCTCCTAGTTTCCAGAGGAGGAGAAAACAATATGACATCCTTTTCAAATGCGTAAACATGGCTCTTGTGTTCCACTTAACCTTTTTTTCCTCCAAGCTGCCACAACTCTTGGATTCCTTTTGGGGTGCAAGTACTGCCTAGAACAGACCTGTTGCCTCGATGGTGGAGGGGGGAGTCCCACTGGGGGGTGGGGGGCAAATCCCACCTTGACCAAAATGGTCTAGTCTAGGTTGGGCTGCATCCCAAGGGAGATCACTCTTTGGTCTCATTAATGATGGACATGTGTGTGTGTGTGTGTTGGGGGGGGGGGGGGGGTTCCACCTTAGGGTTTCCCTGAGAAACCAAGCTTTGTAATTAACCTTCGGGTGGAAGGCAGGTCATCTTATGGTCACCCCTGCCTCCCCCCCCCCGACCCCCGCACACTTAGCCGGGCACAGCTAAGGAAGATCCGATGAGCCCCTTCCCCACTTTGGGTGGGGCAGGGAGGGGGGTCCCATGCCACACTAGTGCCCCCCCCCCCACAAAGCCCTGGCCATTTGTCTCTTGTGTTGGGTCTTCTCTTGGCTTGGGGTCAAGGGTGCGGGAGGTGCAGGGCGGGGGGAGTGGTCCGATGAGCCCCTTCCCCACTTTGGGTGGGGCAGGGAGGGGGGTCCCATGCCACACTAGTGACCCCCCCCCCCACAAAGCCCTGGCCATTTGTCTCTTGTGTTGGGTCTTCTCTTGCCTTGGGGTCAAGGGGGGCAGTCATTGCGGGTGGGGGAGTGGAAGTCCAATGAGCCCCTTCCCCACTTTGGGTGGGGCAGGGAGGGGGGTCCCATGCCACACTAGAGACCCCCCCCCCCACAAAGCCCTGGCCATTTGTCTCTTGTGTTGGGTCTTCTCTTGCCTTGGGGTCAAGGGGCAGGAGGTGCAGGGGGGGGGGAGTGGTCCGATGAGCCCCTTCCCCACTTTGGGTGGGGCAGGGAGGGGGGTCCCATGCCACACTAGTGACCCCCCCCCACAAAGCCCTGGCCATTTGTCTCTTGTGTTGGGTCTTCTCTTGGCTTGGGGTCAAGGGTGCGGGAGGTGCAGGGCGGGGGGAGTGGTCCGATGAGCCCCTTCCCCACTTTGGGTGGGGCAGGGAGGGGGGTCCCATGCCACACTAGTGACCCCCCCCCCACAAAGCCCTGGCCATTTGTCTCTTGCGTTGGGTCTTCTCTTGGCTTGGGGTCAATGGGGCAGGAGGTGCAGGGTGGGGGGAGTGAAGTCCGATGAGCCCCTTCCCCACTTTGGGTGGGGCAGGGAGGGGGGTCCCATGCCACACTAGTGACCCCCCACAAAGCCCTGGCCATTTGTCTCTTGTGTTGGGTCTTCTCTTGGATTGGGGTCAAGGGGGGCAGTAGTTGTGAGGGGGGGAGGGAAGTCCAATGAGCCCCTTCCCCACTTTGGGTGGGGCAGGGAGGGGGGTCCCATGCCACACTAGTGACCCCCCCCACAAAGCCCTGGCCATTTGTCTCTTGTGTTGGGTCTTCTCTTGCCTTGGGGTCAAGGGGGGCAGTCATTGCGGGTGGGGGGGGGGAGTGAAGTCCGACGAGCTCCTTCCCCAATTGTTCCAATTTTCGGCCTCAGTGACCTAAACAGTGTTCTCCTCGGTCTTGGCGGCCGGAGTGTAGATGACGGAGGGCTTCCCGGACTGAGCAGCCAGCCTGCAATGGGGAAAAAGTGGGGGAGGTTAATGTGGGGGGGGGGGGGGGGGAAAGGGGGGAGGTTAACTGGTTTTCAAGAATTTTGAGCTGTCTATTCAACATACAGTGGATTGGCATTTGTACGTGGTTGGATATTGTGGGGGGGGGGGGGGCAAAGGGACGCCCAGGACACTTCTGTATCCTTCCAGATCCCACACCATAGTAGTGTATGACCCTTCCCCCAGGATCAGGTGTGCTGACCCTCTCCCCAAAGCTAAGGATCATGGTGGGGGTGTCACCCAGGTGTTTCTTCCTTCCTACCTTTGCTTCCGGTGCTTTCGGACGTAGAGAAAGAAAGCGAGGGCCGTGAGGCCGAAGAGGACGCCAAAGAGGATGGCCAGGACACCACCTGTGGGGAGAGCCACGCAATGGGAAATGGAGACCCCCCCCAGAACCCAGGCAACACTGGGAGGAGCAAGGGCACGAACACCCCCCCCCACCTCAAAAGCTGCCCAGGAAAAGTCTGGGCGCACCCCTCACTCACCTGCCTGAATCCCGGACTCTGTCTGCTGGGCAGTCCCTGGAAGCAAAGCACAGGGGAAGGGGTCACTTGCCAGGATCCTGTGTCCCCCCACCCACCCAGCCAGGAGGGGACAGCAGAGAGCTCTGTGTACCTGAGGAGGGGATTCTGCTCTTACCTGAACCTGAGGCCCGGTTGCTTCCTGGAAATGAACATATAGGTATTAAAAGGGGAGGGGGCCACGGGGGTGTGGCAACTCAGCAACCCCTCCATCCCAATTCCCTGAGCCAGGAAGAAGAAGCACCTGTATGGGCTGTCTTGGCAAAGTGCCCTCCCCCCCATCTTGACTCCCCCAAGATTCCCCAAAGGGGTTGGGTGCCCGGGGTGGACATTGACCCCCTCACCCCATGTGCCCTTCTTGGGCCTGCTTTTGGAATGCACAAAAATGTCTCACCATCCTCCCACTTTCCTTGCAGGGAGCAGAAGGAGATAAGCCCCCCCCCCCAAAAGCCGTACCTCCTTCAGGTGGCGCTGGGACAGGGTCTGCTCCTGATGTGCCTTCTGGGGGGCTGCGGGGTTGCCCTCCGTCTGCAAGGGAGAGCAGGGGGAACTCTGTAGTTATATGTAGTCATATGTATTTGGAAGTCCACAAATGGCCTCAGAGGGCAAAGGGCCCCCCCTCCCAATGGCCATTGCACTCCCAACCCTCAGTGGCCCCAGGTAACCTGGATCAATCCCCAACCCATCCCTCCAAATGGAAGGAGGGAGGGTCCCAGCAGAGAAAGGGGTTCACCTTCTCCCGGTGCCATGCTGTGGCCCTCCTCCTCTCCTGGGGTCTCCTCGGGAGCAGAGCCTCCTGTTGGGAAAGCAAGTGGGTCAGATGGAAAAGGGGAACTCCAGAGCACATGCAATCAAGAGCCTATTCACACCTCTCAAACAGAGGGTGCCTCCAGGCAACAGGAGCCAGGCTACCTCTCTGCAGATACCCTCCCTGATTGACTTTGCAGCTCCAAGGCTACGCAATGCTGATCAAGCTTGCTTCACATTTGCTTTAAAAGGGTTCTTTTGCCCCAAACAGAGGGTGCCTCCAGGCAACAGGGGCCGGGCTACCTCTCTGTAGATACCCTCCCTGATTGACTTTGCAGCTGCAAGGCTATGCAATGCTGATCAAGCTTGCTTCCTGCAACATTCACACTTACTTTAAATAGACAAGGGTTATTTCACCCACCCTACACATTCCATAGACATATATACTGGGTTGTGACGCAGCTGGTTGGGAGTCAGCTGCATTAAAATCACTACTGACCAAAAGGTCATGTGTTCGAAGCCAACCTGGGTCAGAGTAAGCTCCCGACCATTTGTCTAGCTTGTTGTCAACCTTTGCAGCCTAAAAGACAGGTGCATCTGTCAAGTAGGAAATTTAGGTACCACTTATGCAGGGAGGCTAATTTAAGTAATTCACAATGTCATAAAACTCTCCAGCAGCCAGCAAAAGAATGAGGAAGTACTCCATCAGTGTCCCAAGTGGACGGTGAAGCGACAGCTCCTCCGGTGGCCGGAATTCAAAGGCATACCCTCATGAAGCTGGAAAGTTAAATAGCCTCTGTGTGTCTGTCTATATATGTTGTGTGTCTATGGCATTGAATGTTTGCCATGTATATATGCATTAGTGATCCGCTGTTGTGACTCAGCTGGAACCACAGAGTGCACAGAGTGCCTCCGATGAGGATGATGGGATTCAGGTTGACAATCTGGTTCAAAATGTCCCTGTTATAGTCAATAAGGAACAGGGTGTGGAAGTTCGGTTCCCCACAGCAAGAGATGCGTTTGTTGATACTGAAACTAGCCAGGTGCAGGTGGAAATTGACTCCGAGAAGGAGGACAGTTCTCAGCCTGACAATGAGCAGGAAGGCAAACTGGATAACACTAACGAACAGGCTGACCTTGACGAAACAGGGAGCTTAGATCATGCTGACCCTTTGGAATTCAGAGTTCAAAGGAGTGTGAGAATAGCTAACAAGAAGGAGGCCAGAGGCCAAAGAAACGAACAGACTCACCTTAGATCATGCTGACAGTTTGAAGGAGTGTGAGAATAGCTAACAAGAAGGAGGCCAGAGGCCAAAGAAACGCCTTCATGTTTTGCAGAGGGTATTAAGCAGTATGTTTGGGACCAAACCTTTGTCTAAGCAACTTTTCATTTAACCAAGAAACTTGCATTCTGCTTGTCTGGATTGTTTTGCAGTTCTTGTGTTCGTGCTCTCAGGACTCAGTCATGTTCTCATGGGATTTGGCTTTGCTGGTGCCTTTTTGGATCATGCTTCAAAGTGTTGTTTTGTATTGATCTTTTGGAACACTGCTTTTGCTTCTATGAACTTTTTATCTTTTACTTTTTAATAAACTTTAAAGACTTTAAAGACTTTTGGCTGTGTGCAGTTTGGTGCTTTCAGCAAGGTGAACCTATTCTGAGGTGCGACATCTGCCCTGTATGGAATATACATACTGTAAATCTATCTATCTATCTATCTATCTATCTATCTATCTATCTATCTATCTATCTATCTATCATCTATCTAATAAAAGTCAGTGTTTGTATGCAGAGGGAGGACGGGAGGTGTATGTGGCAGTGTTCTGATTGGCTGCCACTGTGGTACAATTTGCATATGGTCTCTGATTGGCCAATCTCAACATTCCGAGGTAGCAGAGGGAATAGGAAAGTGTCCTAAAGCTGTCAGGAATGGTTGGAGTTGAAGTCCAAAACTCCTTGTGGCCCCCAACAATGACAGAACAAGACCAAACCTGGCACACAGACACCCCCCCCCCCCCCCCCCAAGACTAACTCTACATTCTGGTGCAGTTTGAGCGAGGATGGACCATGGATGACGAGACTTGCAGTACTTTAACTCACTACCTTAGAGCACTGTGGCCCACACCAATGACTAATCAGGACCAAACTTGGCACACAGAGGCCCAATGGCCCACTTTAAAACCTGGTGCAGTTCAGGGCAGGATGGGCCACAAACGATGGGATTCACTTCCCACAGAACATTGTAGCCCCTACAAATCACAGATCAGGCCCAAACTTGGCATACAGAGTACTCATGGCCCACTTAACATCCTGATGCAGTTCTAAGGGGGATGGACCATGGATGATGGGGCTTGCAYTACCTTACTTACTTACTGAAACCACTGCGACCCTCATCAATGACTGATCAAGACCAAATTGGCACACAGAGCCCCCATGACCCACTCTACATCCTGCTGCAGTTTGGAGGAGGGTGGACCATGGATGATGGGACTTGCAGTATCTTTACTCACTTACTGAAACCACTGCAACCCTCATCCAATGACCAATAAAGACCAAACTTGCCACACAGAGCCCCCATGACCCAATCTACATCCTACGACAGTCATCCAATGACCAATGAAGACCAAACTTGGCATACAGAACTGCCATTACCCACTTTCTCTAATAACCCGGGTAGCGCTGGGTCCCCAAGCTAGTAAGTAAATAAATATGCTCCACTTGCCTCACCCTCAACAGGCCTCTGAAGATGCTATTAGCCCCGGATGCAGGTGAAATGTTAGGAGACAGTCCGAAAAAAACACAACAACCCAACCCTATTGTGTGTCTGCACCCCCTTCTTCTTAGAGTCACCTTTTGACCTGACAGCAGGTCCAAAGCCCACTTTCCCCCTGTCCTTGGGTTCTTCTCTCTGGGATCCTCAACCTGGAGTCACTAGAGAAAAGGAGCTCCTCCCGGCCATGTTTTGGGGATCACTCTGTGGACCTTGCTTGCTTTCTCCAGGCCATCAAATGCTAATCAAGGTTAGCATTTGATGCATTACTAGGAAAGTGATGCTCCCCATGCTCTATTCTGCTTTGGTTAGACCACACCTGGAATATTGTGTCCAATTTTGGGCACCACAATTCAAGAGAGATGTTGACAAGCTGGAATGTGTCCAGAGGAGGGCGACTAAAATGATCAAGGGTCTGGAGAACAAGCCCTATGAGGAGCGGCTTAAGGAGCTGGGCATGTTTAGCCTGAAGAAGAGAAGGCTGAGAGGAGATGATAGCCATGTATAAATATGTGAGAGGAAGCCACAGGGAGGAGGGAGCAAGCTTGTTTTCTGCTTCCCTGGAGACTAGGACGCGAAACAATGGCTTCAAACTACAAGAGAGGAGATTCCATCTGAACATGAGGAAGAACTTCCTGACTGTGAGAGCCGTTCAGCAGTGGAACTCTCTGCCCCGGAGTGTGGTGGAGGCTCCTTCTTTGGAAGCTTTTAAACAGAGGCTGGATGGCCATCTGTCAGGGGTGGTTTGAATGCAATATTCCTGCTTCTTGGCAGAATGGGGTTGGACTGGATGGCCCATGAGGTCTCTTCCAACTCTTTGGATTCTAGGATTCTAGGATTCTATGCTTTCTCCTTTAAGGAGATGCCCTGTGTATTGTTAGGTGCAAGCTGCAGGTCGGTCCCTTTTATGCTTCTCCCTTTCCTTGAGTATCTGGGGGAGAAGGGTGGCTTGGAGCTGGCTGCATTAGGAAAGCAGATTTCCAAATCTCACGTTTCAAAAAGAGTTGAGTGCAACCCAAAACCAATCTCCTTGGCAGCAAAGAGACACTCCTGGGAAAAGGATGAATGGATCTCCGCCCAAAGGTTTATCACACACCCCTTGACCAAAGCAGCGGGGTGGAGAGCCCCTCCGGAGGCAGGTCAAGGCTCACCCAGGTGAGTCAGGGTGACAAAGCAAGCGCCTGGTGCAACCAGAAGGTGTGCTTGCATCAGGTAACGAAGGACGAAAACATGAACGTATGATTGCATCATGTGGATGAGTATAAAAGCAGGTACCTCCTGCACAGTTAAGAGAATTTAGAGCCGCCATGGGCAAAGTTCGGTCCTCCAGGTGTTTTGGACTCCAACTCCCACAATTCCTAACAGCCGGTAGGCTGTTAGGAATTGTGAGAGTTGGAAGTCCAAAACACCTGGAGGACCGAACTTTGCCCAGGCCTGATTTGGAGACTTCTTTGCATCCTGCACGGGTCCAAACACAGCCTGACAGACCCCCCATCCTGCTCAGATCTCAATTGCAACCCCCTTTAATGGCTCAGAGCAATTTGGGGGGGGGAATGGGGCAGAAAGACCCCCGCAGCACGGCTATTAGGAATTGTGAGAGTTGGAAGTCCACAACACCTGGAGGACCGAACTTTGCCCAGTCCTGATTTGGAGACTTCTTTGCACTCTGCACAGGTCCAAACACAGCCTGACAGACCCCCCACCCTGCTCAGATCTCAATTGCAACCCCCTTTAATGGCTCAGAGCAATGGGGGGGGGGGGGGTAAATGGGGCAGAAAGACCCCCGCAGCACGGCTATTAGGAATTGTGAGTTGGAAGTCCAAAACACCTGGAGGACCGAACTTTGCCCAGGCCTGATTTGGAGACTTCTTTGCATCCTGCACGGGTCCAAACACAGCCTGACAGACCCCCCATCCTGCTCAGATCTCAATTGCAACCCCCTTTAATGGCTCAGAGCAATTTGGGGGGGGGAATGGGGCAGAAAGACCCCCGCAGCACGGCTATTAGGAATTGTGAGAGTTGGAAGTCCAAAACACCTGGAGGACCGAACTTTGCCCAGGCCTGATTTGGAGACTTCTTTGCATCCTGCACGGGTCCAAACACAGCCTGACAGACCCCCCCACCCTGCTCAGATCTCAATTCCAGGCCCTTCTAATGGCCCTGAGCAAACGGGGAGGGGAGGGTAAACGGGGCAGAAAGACCCCCGCAGCACGGCTATTAGGAATTGTGAGAGTTGGAAGTCCAAAACACCTGGAGGACCGAACTTTGCCCAGGTCTGATTTAGAGACTTCTTTGCACTCTGCACAGGTCCAAACACAGCCTGACAGACCCCCCCACCCTGCTCAGATCTCAATTCCAGGCCCTTCTAATGGCCCTGAGCAAACGGGGAGGGGAGGGTAAACGGGGCAGAAAGACCCCCGCAGCACGGCTATTAGGAATTGTGAGAGTTGGAAGTCCAAAACACCTGGAGGACCGAACTTTGCCCAGGCCTGATTTGGAGACTTCTTTGCATCCTGCACGGGTCCAAACACAGCCTGACAGACCCCCCACCCTGCTCAGATCTCAATTCCAGGCCCTTCTAATGGCCCTGAGCAAACGGGGAGGGGAGGGTAAACGGGGCAGAAAGACCCCCGCAGCACGGCTATTAGGAATTGTGAGAGTTGGAAGTCCAAAACACCTGGAGGACCGAACTTTGCCCAGGTCTGATTTAGAGACTTCTTTGCACTCTGCACAGGTCCAAACACAGCCTGACAGACTGCCCCACCCCCCCTGCTCAGATCTCAATTGCAACCTCCTTTAATGGCTCAGAGCAATTGGGGGGGGGGGGAACGGGGGGGGGGGGGCCACATTTCTTGTGCAAATGGGGGGGGGGGGGAAATGACAGAAAGACCCTCGCAGCACTGTACCGTCCTCAGGCGGCGCTGGGCCAGGGTCTCCTCCTGATGCATCTTCCGGAGGGCTGTGGGTTTGCTCGCCATCTGCAAATGAGAGCAAAGGACATTCGGTGCATTGCTCCCCATTGCATCAAAACATTTAGAAGCCCAGGAGTGGCCCCTGTGGCGACCCCAGTGGCCCTTGCACCCTCCTCCAGCTGCCAGTGGCAGTGGGCAACAAGAAAAGCCCCAAAAGGAGTGGGGGTCTGTGCAGAGAAGGGGTGCTTGCCTTGTCCTGAGGCCACTCCATCGCCTTCCTCTTCTGGGGGCTTCTTGGGGGTCTCTGGGCTGCTGGGGGGAGCTCCGTTACCTGCAGCAGAGGGTCAGAGAGAGACCCCTTAGTCCTTGGGAGAGGCGGGAAAGAGAAAGGGAAGAAAGGAAGGAGAGAAGGACCGAAGGAAGGAAGGAAGGAAGGAAGGAAGGAAGGAAGGAAGGAAGGAAGGAAGGAAGGAAGGAAAGGAAGGAAGGAAGGAAGGAAGGAAGGAAGGAAGGAAGAAGGAAGGAAGGAAGGAAGGAAGGAAGGAAGGAAGAAGGAAGGAGGAAGGAAGGAAGGATCAAGAAGGAAAGAAGGAAGGAAGGAAGGAGGAAGGAAGAAGGAAGGAAGGAAGGAAGGAAGGAAGGAAGGAAGGAAGGAAGGAAGGAAGGAAGGAAAGGACAAAGGAAGGAGAGAGAGAGAGAGAGAGAGAGAGAGAAGAAGGGATGAAAGGAGGGGAAGGAAGGACAAAGAGGAAGGGATGGAAGAAAGAATGAAAGGGTGGAAGGGAAGGATGGAAGGAGAAAGAGGGAGGAAGGAAGGAAGAAAGGGAAAGAAGGAAGGAAGGAAGGAAGGAAGGAAGAAGGAAGGAAGGAAGGAAGGACAGAAGGAAGGGAAGGAAGGAAGGAAGGCCATAAGGAAAGAAGGGAAGAAGGAAGAAAGGATGGAAGAGAAGGAAGGAAGGAAGGAAGGAAGGAAGGAAGGAAGGAAGGAAGGAAGGAAAGAAGAAGGAAGGAAGGAAGGAAGGAAGGAAGGAAGGAAGGAAGGACAGAAGGAAAGAAGGAAGGACAGAAGGAAAGAAGGAAGGAAGGAAGGAAGGAAGGAAGGAAGGGAGGAAGGACAGAAGGAAGGAAGGGAAGGAAGGAAGGAAGGAAGGAAGGAAGGAAGGAAGGAAGGAAGAAGAGAAGGAAGGGAAGGAAGGAAGGAAGGAAGGAAGGAAGGAAGGAAGGAAGGAAGGAAGGAGGGAAGGCAGGCTTACCAGGCAGTGGGGCCCTTCTGGAGGAGTGGCCCTCGGAGAAGCTGGCCAGGACGGTCCGGCCATAGAGGTCCTGTGGGAGGCGGAAGTTGCCATGGAGGGGGTGGTCTCCGTCGCCACGGAGGGTGTCCTCCAGCACCAAGATCTGGGGGAGAAGGGCGCCAGAGGTCATCTGAGGGGCCTCAAGGGGAGGCTTCTGTGCCAGGAAAAAAAAACCCACCCCTATCCCACCCCCTTGAGTAGTGTCTTGCTTTCCCTAGAGACCTGCTGTGGGGAGAGGCGGAGGGTCTGGTTGAAGATGGTCCAGTTGACGGTCTGGAAGCAGGGCGGGGTGGTCAGCGAGCCGTTGTAGCGGAAGTAGCGCCCCAAGTTGGTGGGCAGCAGCTGGGCCACGTCGAAGCCCCCCAGCAGCGTCTCCTCCCCTGGAAAGGAAAAGGGGGAAGAAGATATCACAAAAGCACAGGTCAAACACTTCCCAAGCGTCTAGGAATGTGTTTTCCTTGTAAGAGTCCTCCTCCACCAGACTTTCTAGGCAGATAGAGCTGGTCAACATCATTTCGGGTATTTATTTATCATGTCATCAGCAACCATACCATTGTATTACAATTCTAACAGAGCAAAACAAACACACAGATTAAAAAGAAAAGAAAAAAACACACACACACAGATTTTGCAAACTTGGTAGTTGGTTAAATGTCCTTTGACCAGTATCTGGCCACTTGGAGTGCCTCTGGTGTTGCCGCAAGGAGGTCCTCCATTGTGCACGTGGCAGGGCTCAGGTTGCATTGCAGAAGGTGGTCAGTGGTTTGCTCCTCTCCACACTCGCATGTCGAGGATTCCACTTTGTGGCCACATTTCTTGAGGTTGGCTCTGCATCTCGTGGTGCCAGAGCGCAGTCTGTTCAGCGCCTTCCAAGTCGCCCAGTCTTCTGTGTGCCCAGGGGGAGTCTCTCATTTGGTATCAGCCATTGGTTGAGGTTCTGGGTTTGAGCCTGCCACTTTTGGACTCTCGCTTGCTGAGGTGTTCCAGCGAGTGTCTCTGTAGATCTTAGAAAACTATTTCTTGATTTAAGTCGTTGGCTGATCAAACAGGGGATGAGCTGGAGATGTCACTGCTTTGGTCCTTTCACTATTGGCTGCTACTTCCCGGCGGATGTCAGGTGGTGCAATACTGGCTAAACAGTGTAATTTTTCCTGTGGTGTGGGGAGCAGACACCCTGTGATAATGCATGTCTCATTAAGAGCCACATCCACTGTTTTAGCGTGGTGAGATGTGTTCCACACTGGGCATGCATACTCAGCAGCAGAGTAGCATAGTGCAAGGACAGATGTCTTCACTGTGTCTGGTTGTGATCCCCAGGTTGTGCCAGTCAGCTTTCGTATGATATTGTTTCTAGCGCCCACTTTTTGCTTGATGTTCAGGCAGTGCTTCTTGTAGGTCAGAGCACGGTCCAGAGTGACTCCCAGGTATTGGGTGTGCTGCAATGCTCCAGTGGGATTCCTTCCCAGGTACCAGGTCATAATCCTCAGAGCTTTCTTTCTTGCTGTTTTTCTCATTTTTAACTTCTCATTTTCTTTTTATATTTTTTTATGTTTATTTCACTTGGGCAAAG